ACATATATTTAAATATAATAATGTTAATCTGTCGATCGTAGTTGTCGTATGTCTAGGGTTTTGGGGTTTTATATATATTTAAATATATTAATGTTTATCTGTCGATCGTAGGTGTCGTATGTCTAGGGTTTTAGGGTTTTACATATATTTAAATATATTAATGTTTATCTGTCGATCGTAGTTGTCGTATGTCAAGGGTTTTAGGGTTTTATATATATTTATATATATTAATGCGTATCTGACGATCGTGGTGGTCCTATGTCTAGGGTTTGAGGGTTATAATGTTCATCTTTTGGTCGTATAGTCGTCCCATGTCTATCTGAAAGTGGAATTATTATATGTGAATGAGTTTACTACTAACTTTAGTGCTTCGCGCGTCTGTCCCATTTGATTACTAATGTATACTTGTAGTTATGGTTGTTGTATATCTGAGGTGAGCATTACCTACCCATTTGTCCATGCGTCGTCTACATGCCCATATCCTCGTATGTAGGTATATTTACCCCCATCTCAGACCCCCTCAACCCCACCCCTCCATGCCACTACCCAGATTGGATCGCTGAACGAGGAAAGCGTCTCTGACACGAACACTACGTCACAGATATCACAACCAGACCCAAACAAGGCATCACATTTAACTACACAGTCACAGTCACAGTCACAGCTGGTAGACGCGCACAACCCACCGACACCAACGAACGCCATAGGACACATGGGCACAGTGGAGGTCAGTCTACAGCCACCCACACCCAGACACGAGGACGAGGGGTAGGTCAGGGCCTATAAATGGGCCTAGTTTAGGAGTATGCCCTGTGCACAATACTCGATACATTGTGTGCATCGCAACAGAGAATGTGTTGCTGTATACGCGCACGTACACATAGGGTTGAGGCTCATTTCAGTACAACAACAAGCGTGTAGGGTTTGGAAAATCCTAAACCCTATAACCTTATGCCATTGCACGACAGGCTCAAATGTGTGTCATAAAGCTAGTATAACTACAAAGAACCACTGCCGACCCCAATATAACTATTTATATTATAGTGACGGACTATTA